AGAAAGAAAGAAAGAAAGAAAGAAAGAAAGAAAGAAAGAAAGAAAGAAAGAAAGAAAGAAAGAAAGAAAGAAAGAAGGAGGGAGCAAAATCCTTCAAAGTAAAAGGGAAGCAGAGACAAAATAATAAAATGTGGGAAGTACTCAGAGAAAAACAATTGTCAACTAAGAGCTATGTGCCTAACAGAACTATTTATGAAAAACTATTTATGAGCTAAGGGCTAGAGGTACATCTGAGTGGCTGAATGACTGCCTAGGCAGGCATAAGCCCTTGAGTTTTCCACCAATATCATGGGGGGGGGGGGCAGGGAGTGTGAGATGGGTAACTCAGTGGAAGACATGTTTAACATGTATGAAGCTTTGGGTTTAATTCTTATCTCCAGACACAAAACAAGACAAAAATCAAAGAAGAGTGACATAAAGGCAAGTTTAGACAAATAAATAATGAGAAACTTTACTAACAAAATGCTCTCTCTGAACTTTTAAAAGATGTTGTGTTCTTCTTGTCAGATACAAGAGAAAATCATGGGAGAAAGGATTAAAAATGTGGCTTGATCTGAAGAAACATGACTATGATTTTTTTTTTAAAAAGCTTTCAATATTTGTAGAAAAAAGAATGAAAAGGTCATGTACCTTTTTGTGGTAGAGGGCTAGCCTTGAGCAAAAAAAAGCTCAGGAACAGAGCCCAGGCCTTGAATACAAGTCCCAAGACCAATACACACACAAAAGACATTAAAAAAAAAAGAACAAAAATGTAAAAACACAAAAAACTTCCAAGTATAAGACAGAATGACTGGAATTAAAACATTCTAATCGAGGCACTGATGGCTCATGCCTGTAATCCTAGCTACTCAGGAGGATAAGATCTGAGGATCATGGTTTGAAACCAGCTCAGGCAGGAAAGTCCATCAAAAGACTCAGGGTCAGCACCCACACCCTGAGTTCAAAGCCCAAGACTGCATGCAAGGGGGAGGGGAGGCACAACAAATGGGGCATTCTAAGGTCACTGAACTACTCCATAAGAAAACAAAGATAGTCACTAACTTTGGCTTTTGCAATTTTATATACATATGAAAGATATAATTTTATATAGCTTTTAGGGGAAAAAGAAGAGTAAAATTTTTAAAACCATTGTTATAAAAAAGTTAAAATTTAAACCATTTTTGTAAAGAAAATATATAGAAGTAATTACTGGGAAATGATCCAACTCTCCCAGATGATTTAACCATTTTAAACTCATCTGTATCTATTAATATTATACCTTTAAAGTATATAATGAAAATTTTGGTAAGCCCAGTACAAAAGGATGTGACAGCTCATCATTCTCAATAGCTGGTACAGATACAAAAATAATGAAGCTAAACTAAGTAGTTAAAATGTCAAAGAATCAGAATCATCATACAAACCACATTCTTTTTTCTTTCTTCTTCTTTTTTTGACAGTACTGGGGCTTGAGCTCAGGCCTGGACACTGTCACTGAGCTTCTTTTTGTTCAAGGTTATTAGCACTCTACCACTTGAGCCACTGTGCCTCTTCCAGCTTTTTCTGTTTATTTGGTACTGAGGAATCAAATCCAGGACTTCATGCATGCTAGGCAAGCACTCTACCACCTATGCCACATTCCTAGCCTATAAATCATATTCTTTAACAAAAAAAAATACTAAAAAAATCTCATGCTTGAAAACTTAAAAGTACACTTCTACTTAACTCAAGAATGAAATGAATCACAGAATAAACAAAAAAATGCATAGAATTAAACATTTAAAATTGTACCAAACCAAGCATTGTGCAATGAAGCTATAGTGATTCTCAGAGGCATATTAGTAACTTGAAGAAAGCTAGTAATACTGGTGTTTAAACTCAGGGCCTCATGCTTGCTATGCAAGTGCTCTACCCCTTAAACCACGGCCCCTGTTTTGTTTGCTTTTTATATTTGCTTATTTATGTATTTATTTGTTTTTGTCGGTAGTGGAACTTGGAAAGTCTGGGCCTGGGCGCTGTCCCTCAGTTCTTCAGCTCAAGGCTAGTGCTCTACTACTTGAGCCACAGCACCACTTCCAGTTTTCTGAGTGGTTTATAAGAGTCTCATGGACTTTCCTGCTGGGGCTGGCTTTGAACTGCAGTCCTCAGATCTCAGCCTCCTGAGTAGGTAGGATTACAGGTGTGAGCCACTGGCACCCAGCTGCTTGTCTGCTTTTTAAAGACCATTAAAAAAGCATACTCTATAAAAGCATAATTCAATTAGCTAACAAAATCACATTAAGCATCCTTCCAGGAAACTAGGAAATGGTTGTAAAAATAGGTAATACATAGCAGTTATTTTTAATATTAGAAAATAATGAAGTACTTGCTTATAACCTTAATATTCATAAGACTATCCAGCAAACAGATTAAAGGATCTGATAAATGATAAGCATTTAATATTACAGGATGTTTCAGCACCAGTGGCTCACACCTGTAATACTAGATACACAGGAGGCTGAGATCTGAGGATCACAATTCAAAGCCAGCCTGGGCAGGAAAATCCATGAGATTCCTATCTTCAGTTAACCAGCAAAAAAGCTGGAAGTGGAGCTATACTCAAGTGGTAAGAATGCCAGCCTTGAGCAAAAAAGCCCAGACCCTGAGGAATGGCACACATACAAAAAATTGGTAAATGAGTGACAGTAAATAACACAACAACGTAAGTTATTATTAAAATATTAAACTAAAAAAAGAACTACTTACCTGGTAATAAAATTTTATCTGTTTCACCAAAATGGATAAATTATGAATTCTAAGTGAAGCATCATTGTTGACTTTTTTATTAACTCTCTGACTCTCCGATTTAGGATTACTGGAAGAAATTTGAAAAAGTAAAATTATATTGAAGGATAATTAAAACTAATCATATAATACAGTTTTTTTCTTTTAAGAATGTACAATAATCTGCACCAACACAGGTTACTTTAACATGTATTCTGAGCTTCCAATTAATATAATGCATCTGATACGTGTAAAATCAGCAAAAACATAAAAAAAGAGATGAGTTATAAAAAAAAAACCTTAGGTCTTTTGTTCCCTGGGATTTCATTTTATAAATTAGATATGGCATTTTTTTCATACAAATAGCTAATTCACCCAGTAGTGTGACATTTTACCCCCAGATATAATTGACTTTTACCATTTCAATGTATCCACTTTATGCAAGAGCCAGGCTAATTTCTCTATTTTTTTTTAATGTTCCACCAGACTACTTTATATATTTCTATGTTAACAGCTCTACTTTAACTATTATAGTTGTGAGTACCTTGATGTCTGTAGTGCAAGAAGCCTCATCTAAATTATTTGTAAATTCATTTTAATATTCATAGCCCTTAACATTTGCAGGACCAATTTGTCAGAATGTGCATAAACAAAACAACAAATCATATTCTAGGATTTCAACTAAAATATGCTCAGTCTTTAAACTTAAGGAGCAATTGACAACTTGATAGCACTGAGTCTTCCCACTGATGAGCATAGTCTGTCTCTGTCTGTCTGTCTGTCTGTATCTACCTACCTACTTACCTATGTCCTGCCATTCAGCTCTTTTTCAAAACTTTTATAATTTTCTCCAGGATTTTTATTAGCTTTATTACTAGATGCCTTACAAGATTTGCTACTAAAGTAAACGTATTACTTTTAAAATCTACTTGTTCACAGGACATTGGTGATATATGAAAGCTACCAATTTTTGTATAATGCTCTTTAGCAATCATGCTACTCAGGAGGCTAAGATCTGAGGATTGTAGTTCAAAGCCAGCCTGAGCAGGAAAGTCTGTGATACTCTTATCTCTAATTAACCACCAGGAAACTGGAAGTGGAGCTGAGGCTCAAAGTGGTAGAGCCCTAGCCATGAGCAAAAAGAGCTCAGGGATACTGCTCAGGCCCTGAGGTCAAGCCCTATAACTGACCAAAAAAAAGTCCTCCTGAACAGATTGTAGCTTTCCCATATTAATACACAATTATTCAAATACCACTTACTAAAGAACTAATAATTTCCCACTAATCTCCATGATAAAACAGCTTTCCATATAAGTGTAGGTCTACTTTGGAAGTTCATTCTGTTCCACTGAATTTGTTTATTCTTGTGCCTTTAAAACCTTTTTAATATTACTATAGTTTTATTTGCATCTTCACTTTAGGAAGACAAGCCCTATTCCTTTGTTCTATTTTTTAAATCATCTCAGTAACATTAAGCCAGGCACCACTGGCTCATGCTTGTAATCCTAGTTACTTCAGAGGTTGACACAACCGGACCCCCCCCCCCAAAAAAAAAAAAGAATCTTTTCTTTTCTTTTCTTTTCTTTTTTTTTGGTGAGTTGTGGGCCTGAACTCTGGGCCTGGGCACTGTCCCTCAGCAATTCAGCTCAAGGCTAGCGCTCTATCATTTGAGCCACAACACCAATTTTTGCTTTTTCTGCTTATGTGGTGCTGAGAAATCAAACCCAGGGCCTCATGCATAAGGCAAGCACTCTACCACTAAGCCACCTTCCCAGCCCAAGAATTTTTTTCTTATTTGAGCTTTTGGTTCTATGATTTTTTTCTATTTTTCCACATTATCTACTTGATCATTGCTAAAATATAGCAGGAAAATGATATGATTTTTAAATGTTGCACTTCTAATTAACTGCATTTATTTTAAAGGATTGAGGGTGGAAAATCATGCCATCCCAAATGTGCCTTTTCCTATCTTATTTTCTAGAATTTAATGGAACTGCTTTTAAAGTTTTATCATTAATATATAATTTTTGCTGTACTTTTCTGAATAATATATCCTCTGTGAAGGTTTGGACCTTAAATGTGCCCCAAAGGCCCATGCTTAGTCCCCCGCGTGGTACTATTTTAAGGTGGTAGAAATGCAGTAAAAATGCTTAAAAAGGGGGGGGCCTGCTAGGAGGTCTTAATTCACAGGAGTCATGCCCTTGAAGGAGATATTTACAATGTGACCCATATTCCTTGCCTTTTTTTGCTCCCACCATCTACCCACCATAAGGTGAAGAGCTTATTCAACATGCACTCCCCACTCCCTACCATGTTGTTCTGTTATACCACCGGTCTAAAAGCAGTAGGGCCTACCAACCTTGGACTGGAACCTTTGAAGTTATCATCCAAAATAAACTTTCTCTGGTTTTTATTTAATCTGGTATTTTGTTACAGTAACAGAATGCTAATGAACATATTAAGCTCCCTTCTTATTCTACATCTAAATTGATGCTAAATATTATCTGGTTTTCCCAACATCTAACTCTCATTTGATCTTTTTCCTTTAATATGAAAATGTAGTTATATAATCATTATCAAAATCCTAGAGTACATATTATCTCAGACCTCTCCAATGTTCTAACAACTCTTCCAAGATTTTGTACATAAGTGTTTTAATACTGAGTTACCTCTGTTTGTGTGTGTGTGTGTATGCGCTCGCACACATGTGTGAGTGGGTGTGGTGTATGGCTTCAAGCTAGACTGACAGGCACTCTACCACTTTTTTGCTCTGGTTATTTCTGAGACACTCTCTGACTCTCTCCTCTCTGTCTCTCTGGCTCTCTCTCCCCCTCTTTCCCTCCCCGCCCCTTCTCTGCCTAGCCCAACCTAGACCACAGCAATCCTATTTACCCTATTGGTTGAGATGAGGACCCAGGTTGTGATCTTTTTGCCCAGGTTGGCCTCTAACCACGACCCTCCCAATCTCTACCTCCCAAGAAGCTAGGATTACAGATTTGGACCTCTGTTGCCAACCCTAACTGCTATTTTTACTCTCATTTTCTCCTAGGCTGAAAGCTCCTTGACACAGGGATCATATCACACTGAAACTTTTATTTCTAAAAGCTACCATATTTCCGGGGCTGGGAAGGTGGCTCAGTGGTAGAGTGCTTGCCTTGCATGCATGAAGCCCTGGGTTCAATTCCTCAGCACTACATAAGCAGAAAAAGGCAGAATTGGCACTGTGGCTCAAGCGGCAGAGCACTACCCTTGAGCTGAAGAGCTGAGGGACAGTGCCCAAGCTCAGAGTTGAAGCTCCATGACCGCCCCCCCCAAAAAAGTTACCTATTTCCTAACCTATTATTTGAAGATGAAGATGAGAACAAATTAGCAATTAAGCATAGTATTCTAAAAACTAGGTTCCTAACAAAAATTATGAGATGACAGTCTAACTTACTTAACAGCCTCTAAAGTGTCTGACTTTAAAATCAATTTAATAGTGAATGGTCCTAACCTATAGTTGAGATCTGCTGAAAGGGAGAATATCGGTAAATAAGGAATCTAACTTTACTGCAAGGGAAATAATGAAAAAAAGCACAGGCCGAGGCAAAGAGAATTTAAATGAAAAAGTGGGTATCTGATGTAAAAGTATGAACCAGAACTAGTTAACTTATAAAAACAGAATCACAGAAGTCAGATCACGTGTCACAGAAAACAAAGACAAACAGCAGATTGGCCAGGAAGTCATGGTTAAAAACCCAGACAGCTGAAGGGAAAATCTTGTTTAATGTAGTCAATTCCAGTACATTTTTAGTCAGTGAGTTCAGCAAATATTCAGAGTATCTACTGTACTGGTCAAATTACTTAATGTATAAAAGCTTGGTTTAGTAGTCAAGCTATGACTGTGGGGAAAAGTATAATTGTAACTAGGAAAACAGAATAGAAACAACCCTACTAATGAAATGTTACGTATACCTACAGTTATTTAAATTTCACTGGCAACCATTAATATTCATTAGTTCTTTAGCCTTCTTTTAATTTCTACTTCCCTAATTATTTACGAGAAAACTTTTCATATTGCTTCTCACCAATGACTACTCTTGTTTATATACTCATAATACTCAGACCTACAAAATAGTAGGATCCAGAATTACTATAAATAAGGAAATGGAAGATCAAACTGTCATTCACCAAGGACCATAGGGTTCTTTTTTTATACTATTTAGACTTTTCTCTTAAAAATATCATTTAAAAGAAACAAAGAGAAGACTGACAGAAAAGCTCCAGCAATGTCTTCTATAAAACCTATGTGTACATAGTTTTATTATACTACTCCAGCATATTCCCAATTCTGTTGATAGTATGTAATCAAATTAAACATAATTCATCTTTCCTTACCAGTTCATCACAATATTATTTTATTATAAAACTGAGTATTTAAAATTAACAATATTGAATATTGGCTGGGAGGCACGCTCCAGGGAGTAACTACCAAAAAAATCAGTATAACCTCTAAAAATGTATGCATCTTAAAACATACTGTGCATATAGTGTACACACCCATTACTTCATGACAACATACAACAGTATTCTTTTGTTTTTCTTTTTTTTTTGTCAGCCATGGGATTCAACCCTGGGTCTGGGTGCTGTCCCTGAGCTCTTCAGCTCATGGCGAGCATTCTACCATTTGAGCCACAATGCCACTTCCAGCTTTCTGGTGGTTTATTGGAGATAAGAATCATAGACTTTCCTGCCCAGGCTGACTTTAACCACAATCCTTAGATCTCAGCCTCCTGAGTAGCCAGGATTACAGGTGTGAGCCACCAGCATCTGTCACAACAGTATTCTTAGAAACTTATTATTTCACTCCCATTTAACAAATTTTGTAATACTATATTATTATGACATAAAATTATTATTAATTTTTAAGTGTTTTTTCCCTCCCAAAGTTGGTTGTTACTGCTTTTAGTAGTGTTGGGGATCAAACCTAGGGCTAAGCAAGCACTCTACCATTGAGCTGTATGTCCAACCCTCAAAAATTTCATATTTTAAAAAAATTTTTGTCTAACATTCCTCACATGGTATCCCAAAATTCATTCAGTTGTCAGGCAA